CTCAATTAAGGGGTTAGATTTTCGGGGTGTCACAAGGGGAACTTTCGACCTACCCAGGAATTCAGGCACTGGCTCGGTGGCTCCCGACCTAGTGTCGTTGGACTCTGAGTAATGGTGACCGCATACAGGTACTGTACATACGAGCCCGTTTTAGTACTTTCAAGGGCGTTGAGCTCCCTCAATAAAAAGGGAGCTCCACGCCCCCTTATTCAACCCTGCCAATCCCGATGCCCACATCGGATGGGCAGTAGAAGAGAAGCCTTAGGCTTCAATATTAAAGAAGCCCGAGGCTTCTCATTAAACAACCGGCGGAATTGCTGCTCCAAACCGCTGATTACTAAACATCTTCTTTAGCGGTTACTAAAGATGGTTAAATCCATCAAAAATTGGCGGATAAGTTGTTAACCAAACAAGTCTCTAATATAACTAAAATATATCTGAATCAATACTCTATTGAGTTCAATGGAATTCTAAAACTTGGTATAGAGTTCAACTTTTAATTGTGATAATGTGAATAATGTCTAATTTTAAGCGTAAGCAAATAAGTTGAGTTTATATAAGTAAATGGGAGTAGAAAATATAGAAGATGGTTGATAAGTAAAATAATATGATAATGAATATAATTGTAGTAATAAATAGTCAAATAGATGATAGATGATTCTATTTTCTATTTAAGATATTTTTTTTTAAAAAAATCTCTAGTGTTTAGAAAACTGAAAAATATTTACAATTTTCAAAATGAAAAATTTTAGTAATAAACATATATATTTTTTTTAAATCTGAAGAGAGGGGAAACCCAAAGAACTCAATGATGTTTGAAAGTCGCGACTCCTAGTTGGTCAAGCTTGATTTCTTCACATAAATCCGGCGGTGCATCCGGGAGATCACTATAGCCAATTCGGTGGGCAAGTGCCGCCGTGGCCAATCTATCCGCTACCGTATTCCCTTCCCATGTGCAAACTCAACCTCCTGGAAATGATTGGCTTCACGCAGGCATCTCCACATGGTATTGCTGGCGAAGCCTTGGTCTCTCTTTGCAGCACAGAGATCGTCGTTCAGCCTCTTCGCGTCACTTTCCACTACGAGCTTTGCTGCTCCCATCTCTCTTGCCATACGTAAACCCACCTGGAGTATCCCCCAAGTTTCCGCCTCACGTGCGCTACAACGCCCAATGTTGAAAGTGAAACCTCTAAGCCAATTCCAGTGCTCATCCCGGAGTAAGCCACCACAACCTTCGATGTCATTGGCTTTGCAGCAGCCATCGATATTGACCTTCACCTAGCCCCTCACTGGCTTCTGCCATCTAACCTGATCGGTCATGTACCTCGTTGTTGCATTCTCTGGATTCATGCGCTTCACAAAGGAGCTCTTAACCTCCAGTTTCTGCCCAAGCGTCTGTGCATGTTGCTTAAAGACTTCGTCATTCTGCCATCTCCACAACCACCATATCCTCACGCAGAATTGCTCCTGCCAATTCTCGTTGAAACCATTTGCCACCTCTCCCGCAAGTTCGTCTCAAACCAAGCACCCCAAGGCATTGTATTCAAAATCGCGCTTATTCCACAAACTAGTTCTGCATCCCAAATCTGCCTAGCTGTCGGGCACGTTCTGAACAGATGATTCAGATCCTCAACCTGTCTTGCACAACGAAAACAAAAAGGGTTCGTCGTCAGCTTTCGCCTAGCTCTCTCTACATTTGTGAGAACCTTTCCATGTCGGACCAGCCATAAGAACATGTTTATTCTGGCTGGCACTCGAATACGCCATAGCCTGCGACAGCTTCCTTAAGTGGTATCCAACGGGCCGTTCACGATTGTGTTATAGGCCGAGCGAATCGTAAACTTCCCCTTGGGGTCGAGGCTACAACCTAAACCATCTGGCACGTGCACCTTAGTGAGAACATAGCTCGCGAGTCTTTATTTTGTCGCAGTTGGTAGAGCGTTTTCCAGTCGCTCCCACTTCCATCCACGTGTTTCATCCCAATAATCCCTCACCGGCGCATAGAGATCCGGCAGGGTCAGCTGCGCGCTAAGCTGTGCGTGAAGGGGTTCAGGCGATATCCACCTGTCCATCCAAATTGTGTGTTTAAACCATTGCGAACAATGCGTGTGAGCCCCTTGTCCATAAACTCCCACGCCGTTGAAATGCCTCGCCAAGCGTTCGAAGCTCCACGTATCATCGGCACTCTAAGGTATTTCCCCAAATTCGCCGTTCTTTCAATGCCCAGGCGCCTGGCTATATCATCCGCAAGCCCCAGCTCAGTGTTCTTTGAGAAGAACACCTAGGACTTGCTTAGGCTGATCCGCTGCCCCGATTCCGCGCAGAATCTGTCCAGACATTTCTTCACTACCTCGACCTGTGTCGCTGACGCCTCCGTGAAAAACACCATGTCATCTGCAAAACATAAGTGGGTTAGAATAGGCCCATTAGTTGCTAATTTAATACCTTTCCAAACCTGTTTGTCGACTTCGAAATTAATTAACTGACTAAGTCGTTCTATACATAACACAAAAGTGGCCGGCGACATTGCATCGCCCTACCTGATACCTCGAGTAGGCCGGAAAAGCTCCAATCTTCCCCCGTCCCAAATCACCAACAGCCTGGACGTCTTGATACAGGCCATCATAAGATCCTTAATAGTCCCGGTAAAGCCCGCTTGGTCAAGGGTATCCTGGATAAAGTCCCAGGACAAGCGGTCATAAGTTTTTTCCAGGTCCAATTTAATTGCCATGTACCCCTTCGCTCCTCGTTTTTCATGCATAGTATGCATTACCTCCTGAAAGATTACGACATTATCCGAAATTTGGCGTTCAGGGACAAAGGAACTCTAGTAAGGCCCTATGATCTTGGGAAGGATCAACTTGAGCCGGTTTGTAATAGTCTTGGTAATGATCTTGTAGCTGACGTTACAAAGACTAATGGGCCTGAAATGCTTGATGGTCTCCGAGCCCCGGACTTTGGGAATAAGGGCAATAAGCGTGTCGTTCAGTCCCCCCGGGATGTTACCTGTCGCGAAAGCTTGTTTAACCAGGTTAAAAACATCTTCTCCAGTTTTAGCCCACATGTGCTGGTAAAATCCTGCATGAAAACCATCCGGGCCCGGTGCCTTGAACGACTTCATGTCATTTAGGGCATTATGGAACTCTTTCCTTAGAAATTGTTCTATTAAAACATGCCCAATCGATATCCCGTAAACGGGGAAAATTTGCTAAAAACCGTTCACCAGAGGTCCTATCGGTCTCTCTCGAGAACAAATGGATGTAGAAATTTCGGATGTGAATACGTAGCTCATTCATTGCCACTCGAGATCCAGACCCCGCTTTCGTCCATAAGCCTTTGGACCGAACTGCGAGACTTTCGTATGGTGGCAACCACATGGTAGAAAGCTATATTTCTATCTCTCGAACTTATCCATTCCTCCCTGGATTTTTGGTACCAAATAAGCTCTTCTTGGTGTAGAGTAATTTCCAGTTCCGTCCTTAATTTCACCTCTAGCTTTGCAAGACCCCTGTGGTAACCAGACGCGAGGACCTTATGAATGCCACTAAGACGTGTCAAGATGTTCTTTTTGCATTTAAGCAAGTTACTGAAAGATTCATTATTCCAAATAGCCAGATTTATAGCGAAAAGCCTGGTGTTTTCTAGGAAGCCGCGGTTGGACCTCCAATTGCGCTGAACCACTTCGTGGACGTCGGGTCGTGTGAGCCAAGTTGCCTGGAAAGTGAAAGGTGTCGGCGGCCGCCTCTGCCTTTCCCCATAAACCTGCAATAAGAGAGGAGCATGGTTAGAAGAAATCCGTGCTAAATGCGTCACGCGTGCTCCTGGAAACCTAGTGCGCCAACTTGTGTTGCATAGTGCCTGGTCCAAACGAGCACCTTTGTAATCATCGTTGTTCCCTTCCTTCACCCAAGTGAGTTGTGGACCCGAGAAGCCCATGTCGATGAGTCCTTCGTCGTGAATCCAATTCACAAAATCTAAGCTCCGGTGCGCAGAATAGGATCTATGGTTGCTCGTTTTCTCTCTGCAGGTAATTGAGTTAAAATCCCCAGCAGCAAGCCATGGCCCATCGATGCCTCGTTTCAAGTGAGTGAGGTCATTCCACAACCACTTACGTAAGTGGTGTGCCGGGCTGCCATACACCGGTGCTAAATACCACGGTGGGTGACCATCCTCCAACACCTGCATAAGAATGAATTGGGGGTGAGTGCTCAAAACTGTCATCTGCACCGGGTCCTTCCAGAAGACCCAGATGCTCCCACTGAAACCTACGGCTTCCACCCGAATCCAGTCCGAAAAGCCTAGCTTCAAGCAGACTGAGTTTGCGTGGGCACCAGAGATCTTTGGTTAAAAAAGGCCTAGAATGCAAGGCTTATACATCCAAAGGAGATATTTAAGGGCGCAAATGAATGACTTGCCACCAGCGCCCTGATAGTTCCAAAAGATGCAATCTATAAACAAACAAGACAAAAGAGAGAAGCAGCCAAAAATCAAAAAGAAAAAGACAAAGCCACCAAACCGGGGGCGCTTACAGGGCGTCCCCATTACCCCCCAGTCTCACGCTGCGTCGTAGCCCCTTTGAAGGTCATAACAACATCACCCTTCTTGTCCAGTTTCTCTGGCGGGTCGGCAAACTGTTCCGCCGTAGGCTGCCACACAGGCGAGGGTAGTGCGCTGCCAGAATTCTCCACAAAGACTCGCAATTAATGTATCACCAGACCACCCTTCTCACCCCGGACCACAATGTGCTCCTCTTCCTCTGCAGCTCGCCTGGAGCTTCCGCCACTTTCCCGCCATACTCTTGGCATGGCTGGTGTTGCACTATGTTCCGTCCCCTGTGGTTCTGCACATTCATTCATAATCTGTTTCTCATTGGCTATCACGTTAGGGCGTTGGATTTTGTCACCTCTGGTCCCATGCGCCTGACTGGTTCTTGGCGGTGGTCTGGTGATCGCGCCATTCTCCACTATGCGCCTGTCACCCATAGCGTCTCCCTGAATCGGTTATTTCCCGAGCACCACCTCCTCCATAGCGTCCTCATTGTCTCCAGTATTTAACGGCGCGAATCGAGAAACTAGTGCCACCACTCCATTCCTCGCTTCAGCACCCTTCAAATGACCACTTACTTGTCGCTGGTTCTGGGCATTGGTCGCCGCCGATGGCCTTCCCCTAGCGTCTTTCGAGATGACGGGTGCCTGGACAGCATTTGCCGGATTCTGATCATTGTGATCATGTGCGTCCTCTCCCTTTACAGCCTGTTCAAGATCTACTTCTGACCTGCGAAGCCGTGGGCAAACCTCCTTTGCATGCCCATAGAAGCCACAAGAAAAATATACCAGGTGTACACCTTTGTATGCTACGTGTCGGACTTTGCGTTCATAAGTGAATTTGGAGATGAGCGGCTTCCTCATGTCAATCTCTACGCAGATCCGGGCAAATTTTCCCCGAGATACCAAGCTAGTGGCCTGATCAACTCGCACAGTCCGCCCAATCCGATTCCCGAGTTTCCTGAGGAAGATATAATCATAATACTCCATAGGGATACACGGGATTCTTAGCCAGACAAGTACTTTCTCCATAGTGTCGTTCATTGGGTCGAAATCCGGCTCCCAAGGTTTCACTATCAAATAGTGATCCAGCACCAACCAAGGGCCTTCGTACATTGCAAATTCCAGATTGTCGATTGATCTGAACTGGACCAAATGGTAATCATTATCAAGGGCTATCAGGTCCATGCTCCCTTTGGGTTTCCACATCACAATCAAATGCCAGAGCATGTACGCATATCCTACCCGTCGTCCCATCACCTTAATGATCAGCGATTTGCGCCATGGAGCCCAAATTTGGTCTAACTCCGCCTTGGTCAATCTGACTGTGGGGCACAATAGGTCGTCACTGTAACACCCCCGATTTTACTAAAATTTAAAAGCTTAAATTTGGCGAAAACAAGCTAAACATTCATCCAGATAAAGCGGAAGCAAAGCCTAAGTACGGAGGTGTTATGCCACACCTATAACAAACATAGGTGCACATACTACGTCTAATCAACACATCATAAACAGAGTCTTAAAATTCAAGGCGCACAGGCCACAAGTCTAACCAAGGAAAATCATAAAGAGCTACACTATCTAACGGTCCGCTAGCGCGCTCTCCAAAAGCTACTCAAAAACCTGTAAAAAATAGGGATAACACCCGTCAGCGAAAGATGATGGTAACCCACCAATACGCGTTAAGTATCATAATATATAGATATAATCATATAATCAAAACCATTTGAGACAGAGGGATATAATATATATTCTTTTAAAACCAAGAGAGGAACAACATAAGACTCCACACCAAGTCGCTCTCGAATAAAGACCAACATCAGATGATTACTCAATAATCAATAAGGATAACAAAGACAACATGCTCAACAACAAGATATATCAAACGATAATCAATCAAGAGACAACATAAGTCATATTCTCACGAACCGTGAGAGACAAGAGTCGCATATCAAAGATGAGTACCAAGTTCCAACCTTATGCCCTGTTCCAACCATTCTCTCCAGGCCAACCTTATTACAGTTCCAACCTTTACATCCTAGTGCCACCCTGTACACCGAGTCCAACCTTATTCCTCCAGAGCGATCCGCCCCTCGCCTGTATCCGCCAGCTTTAACTACCAAACGGGACACTCGTAGTGTCAATAGTCATATAGAATAGTACTAATCATGTGATAGTCTATCTCCTTTCATTTATTGCCCACCGATCATATATCATTACATAGTCCTCATCACGGAGGATTGCGGCTCATCAATAGCCCAATCAAGTATCAATAAATGGGTACATCAGAAGTACAAGATCATATCAAGGAATACAATCGAAAGATTTCAATGAAAGGCAGGAATAGACCATCAAGGCAACGATACATCAACGATAGACTTTAATCCAAAGACTACTATGATTGGCAACACAAGTAGCCAATCCTCATTATGAACAAACGAACAACACACACTAGCATAAACAACATTAAGACTAGCATGTACATCAAAAGGAAAAACATAACGGTTCAACCGAACCTCAATGACTTCACACTAATCCAACGAATCACAAGGTTGGACCATAAGCACAATTCAAGACACCAAATCCTATCATAGATACTTAGGACACCACTCTAGACGTACGAAACATCAAAGGAGACGCACAATTACACAACGATCCAACGAAACGGAGGCCAAAGCAACACGTTCCAGCGGGTGGAACCACAGGTGGACAACCACCTGCCACCTCCTACCCGCCAGTTCTAGCGGGTGGAACCACGGGCAGACCAACACCCGTGGCCCTGCCTGCCAGGCACAACCACACCTGGCAGCGGGTAGAGCTCCCACCAGTTGTTCCGCCCGCTGCCTCCCCTGAAGCAGTCCAAAATTCCCTTCGGGGAAAAACATCAACAAAGCCAAGTTCAAGTCCAAAACACCCAAAACCTCACATACAACAAGGAAATGACTTGAGGAGAAGATGAGGAAGAATCTGAGAAGTCCGAGGAGTCAGAGAGTGAGTCCTTCTAGAGTGGAGCTGAGGCCGTCTTGTTCGCTCTTCTTTTGGTTGTTGCTATCTTCCTAGCCGTTGTTACCGTTTAGTGGTTGCTTGCTCTGTATGCTTGTCTTTGCTTGTTGTTTTGTTTCTTAGTTAGTTTTGTAGTTGGTGTTTGGAGTTAGTTGCTTAGTTCTTAGTTGTTGTCAAGAAGTGGTGTTGTGGTGGGACTAGAGTTCGTTATGCTCAATTTATCCGTTTCCTTAATTCTTGCCAATTCTTGTTTTGAACTCTTTCTTACTTTGAAATCTTGTGGAATCTTTTGGGGTTCTTGACCAAAAGAAATTGTTCTTGACACTCTTTGTCACATTGTTGTTCTTTTTACCGTTTGTTCTAATTCGTCGTACCCAAGCTTCGGGGACGAAGCTTCTTTGAAGGGGGGGGGGGGGGGGGAGAATGTGACACCCCGAAATCCAAATTCAGTTAAGGGATTAATTAAGTAATTAATCATATTTCAGTTCGTAATTTAATTCCTTAAATTCCTGAAATTTAATAGTCGGGGACTAGTAATTGACTAGTAAACCCCAAAGTCAAAGTTGTACCTTGAGCTTGGTAGGGAGTTCCCTTGTTCCTAACACCTTTTCATGTTAGTAAGGGTATTCTTGACCTTTCACCTTGTGTTAGTATTGTAACCAAACCTAGTAAGAACACCTCATTTCTCTCCTTACACTTTCCAAAATCCTAGCTCCATCCTCTCTCTAAAAAGGTGGATAGCTTTTCTTCCAAGCCAAGTTGAAGCTTTGTCAAGACTTCAAGAGTTGTCTCCAAGATTCTACCTTTCATACATTTGGGCATCTAGGAGGGTAAGATCCATGTTCACCTTGTGTTTTTAGTGTTCTCTTAGGTGTCTTTTCTTAAAGATAGGATCTTTATGATCTTTTGGTATGTTCTTGAAGTGGGTTTGGAAGGTGAGCTTTGATAGGAGCTTGGTGTGGTGTTAAGTGAAGGTTTTTGTTCTACAAGAGGTAACCCATGCTCTACAAAATCTATTTTGCTTACCTATGTGAATATTTCTTGGATATTACATGTGTTTTGCTATGAAATGTGAGTATTTATGCATTGTCTTGTGAAAATGCATATCTAAAGCTTGTGTTTAGGGTTCTTATATACCATTGCTTGGAAATTCCTTTGATTCAAGTCAGTTTGTTGTATTTGGTGAGATTTGGCATGTTTTGGACTTGAATTTGAGTTTGGAGGTGAAAATCCCCGAAGGGATTGTTTTGTGCAGGTATGTGTACCCGCGGGCGGAACCACGGCTAGGGGCCTACCCGCTGGGTTCACCTTGGTGTTGTCTGGGTATTTGTTCCCCGTGATCCTTTTGATTCGGTATTTGGTCTTTTCACTTCCCAATGTTCTTTTGTTGAACTATTTGAGTGTCTTCTTGGTGTTTCGTATGTCTAGAACTATATGGTAGGATTCCATGTAGGTTTTGGTGTCGTGAATCGTGCTAAGTGTTCAACATTGTGTTTCGTTGAACCGTGATGAGTCTTGTACGTTCTTCGGAACTACGTTTGGTTTACCCGTTTGATAAGCATGCTAGTTCGGTGTTTAATGCTAGCGTGTGTGTTGTTTATACCTTCCTATTGGTTGATGATAACTTGTGTTATTCATCGTTGTTGTTGATGGGCTGTGACCCATTCCTTGATTGAGTATGGTTTCATATCTTCGTTGTGATCCGTTGATTGATTCTTGTTGTGGTGTGACGTGTGTGTGGCTTTACCTGGATTGCACGATTACTGGTATGGGACACTAGTCACCAAGATATTGCTGTGGTCCTCGTGGTGGCCATGACGTGATTATGGAGTTGTGACCTGTGTGTCAGGTTCACGTATTTCTTGGGAGGCGTGTGTCATCGTGTTTGTGATCGGTACCCTCGTGTACTATGAAATTGGTGGTCTTGTTGGTGGTTTGTTGGTGGGGGACGACGGTCCCATGAGGGAAAAGGTTGGACTAAGATGTACAGGTGTCCTGGAGGTAATGGTTGGAAGAAGATATAAGGTTGGGGGTAGCCATAAGGTTGGAACCGGGCATAAGGAAGGCATATCAACTCATGATGGGTGATTCGCGAGGGCTTATGTAGCTGTTGTTGTGAGTTCTCTTCTTGTGACGTGTGTAGTCACAAAGTCATGTGTTGCCTTGGCATGTGTTGCCGTGTGTTGTGTCTTTATTCCTTTGAGTTATGAATGTCGGGTATTAATCTATTGTGTGACGATAGATTATGCCTTGAGACTTCTTGTGAGTCGTTGTTGTTCTTTGTAGTCTTGGGATGTGTTCCCGTGTTCTTATTGAGAGTGTTTGAGTCTTGTGTTGACTATTACTCTTGGTTTTTGACTTATATATATGTATTCTGTTTCGAAAATAGCTTTACAAACTTATATCTTATCTATGTATGATATTTCACATGTATTGGTGGGTTACCAGCATTATTCGCTAACCGGGCGTCGTCCCATGTTTTATATGCTTCTTTCAGGTGATGCTTAGACGAGTGCGCAGTCTAGTGCCAGCTAGTATAGCTCCCCTTTTTATGTTTTGAGGCCTGTGAGCCAATCTAGACGTAGTACTCTGTTAGATGGTTATAGATTTTAAACAATGCAGATTTAGCCTGTGCGTTCACCCTTGGGTGAGCGTAGCATAGCACCCCGTTTCATTGTTTTATACATATCTTCTCTTTTAGTCTTCCGCTGTGTTTAGTGTTTTGGTTTAAGTTATCTGGATGTTTTATGGCTTTAAATAGCACGATTTTTTGGGGTGTTACAGTTGGTATCAGAGCCTAGGTTTGAGTCTAGGAAGGTTAAGTCTAGACTTTTTATGTGGCTAAGTGTGGTTTGAGACCTTAAAGTGATCTCAAGAATCTAAGTGTTAGGCTTAGGACTCTAGGTTGCGCGGTGAGCTGAGTGTTGTTTTCAGTTATTTGCTTGATTGTTGTCTCTTTGGTAACCGTGTTGTTGTTGTAGATGTTTGCGATGCCTCCTCGTCCCTGAGCGCGCACCCCGGAGACCCTGACGTATGAGCAGCTTGCTCAGAACCTCTTGCAGCTAACACAGACGATGCAGACGCTTAGCGAGGCTTTGCTAAACAACAACCATCCCGTGCCACCTCCTCAACCTGGTGGGCACCGGGATATGGGCCGCTTGGTGTCAGGTCATAGGCCGCCAACC